CTAGGAGATTTTAATGCCCACCATGAGTTGTGGCATTTCATCCTAGTTAATGACAGATAGGATCAGCGCTGACAGGGCAGATTGACTGCTCCACATTCTGCACGGTTAACGGTTACCCCCCATAAGATGAGAGTGTCACAGTTCCCCAGACTTCTCCATAGTGTCACCCGGTCTGATAAATGACGTGACTTGGCAACCCGTTATTTCCCTTGGCTCAGACCATCTCCCGATAATCGTCTCCATAAGCATATCTCCCGATTTCATAATATCTGAACGCCGCACTTTCCTTAACCATGGGAAAGCACATTGGACTAAGTTCAGAGAATTCACTAAACGCTGTTTCAGAGAACTGCCCAACCCTTCTGATGTTCGGGTAGCAGAAAGGATTATCCGAAACATTATGAAAGCTGCAGCCGCTCGCTACATACCTGCTGGTCGAATACCCGAGATAAGACCAAACTTCCCAACAGAGACAGCGGGATTAGTGTGATGATCTCCATCGTAACAACCCTACAGATTCTAGAATCAGTGATTTGACAGTGGATGTCAACCGGTTGGTACAGGAGCATAAGCGGAAAAAGTGGATAGACCATCTGAAATGTTGCAACATTGGAACCGATATGAGTAAGCTGTGGGTAAAGGTTAAGTTGCTCTCGAACCCTGGAAAACGGATGATAGGGCCTCAGTCACTTTTATCGACGTAACGGTGACTATCGAAGAGTACTACGTCGTATCAGATCTATTCCCGCCGAGGAGGAACCACCACAGTTTACGATGGGTGATGTTGCAAATGTTGGGCCCTGACGGAATCTCAATGGTAATTTTTAAACAGCTAGATATGCCGGGAGTCGAGAACTTAACGAAAGTTCTCAATTTGTCGCTAGCCACCCACATAGTGCCCGATATCTTGAAAATGGGTCGGATGGTCCCGCAACTGAAGCCAGGCAAGGATGCTAGTAAAGGCGAATCGTACAGGCCGATTTCGCTTTTGTTGCCAGTAGCCAATACTACTATACAGTTGCCCACCACCAGCACGGATTCCGTCCACAACAGTATTACACGCCATTTGTACACATATTAGTAGAGGACTGAACCAGAACAAGCCGTGTGACAGAACAGTTTTGGTTGCCCTTGACCTATCAAAGACATTTGATACGGTCAATCATGCCATACGGTTTGAGGACGTGCATAGAACCACCCTCCGGACAAGTTTGAAATGTTGGATAATCAACTATATGTATTGGAAGTACATCCAGAACTGCCAGAACGCTGCCCTGAGAACTGCGACAGGGTGCCTGCTCATGACACCAGTGGACCATCTACATGAGGAGGCGAAAGTCCTTCCCTTACGTCAGCATGGTCATATGCTTTCGTTGCAGTACCTGCTTGGTGCTACCGTGAGAGTCATCCCAACCATCATATGGTGGATAAATCTCCCCCACTCAGGCGTGTCAGAAAGGACATACATGATCTAGAGAGGGAGGTCCAACGCTACAAGAGAGAACCTCTAGATCAAGAAGCCTATCAGGCAGGTATGAGTGGCATTCATACCGATGCAGTCGCAGATGCTATTAGCAATTATAAAATGAATGCCGTACTCGGAGTCCATCCCCATCCATTGCAGCTGAACAACATCAGTTGCCTAGACAAACCAGGGTAGTTTTGACGCAATTACGTTCAGGATGGTGTAGTCGTATTGGGCACGAATTGATGAAGATGTGCGTGACGCCTGCCCTTCGTGTGATACAGTCCCGCACAATAGGCTGCACCCATGGTACAATGAATTCAAGTTAGAGCAGAACTACCATTTGATTTTAATTTTTTTATTTTTCTGGCTTAATAGTCAACTTTATTTGTTTATGTATGTGTATTCTTTTCAACAATAAAAAAATCAGAAAATATTCAAATTCGGGTGTTTTCAAAATGCTTATAGCAACGTATGCATCGACAAAATCTACAGTTTTTGTATACATGTATACGATAATCGTCTCCATCAGCAGATCGCCCGATTTCATAACCTCTGAACGCCGCACTTTCCTTAACCATGGGAAAGCCCACTGGCCCGAGTTCAGAGAGTTCACCAACCTTCGCTTCAGAGAACTGCCCAATCCTTCTGATGTTCGGGTAGCTGAAAGGATTTTCCGGGACATCATCAAAGCTGCAGCCGCTCGCTATATACCTGCTGGTCGAATACCCGAAGTAAGACCAAATTTCCCAGCAGAGGCAGCGGGATTAGCGAATGAGCGTGATGAGCTCCGACGTACCAACCCTACTGATCCCAGAGTCAGTGAACTGACAGTGGAAGTCAACCGGTTGGTACAGGAGCATAAGCGGAAAAAGTGGCTAGACCATCTGAAGTGTTGCAACATCGGAACCGATTTGAGTAAACTGTGGGTAACGGTAAAGTCACTCTCGAACCCTGGGAAAAAGGATGATAGGACAGCAGTCACATTTAACGACGTAACTGTGACTGATCCGAAGAGGTGCGCTGGCTGTTTTAACCGCCAATTTGTCGAGCACCCCGAGAGTGATAGAGCGAGGCGAAGAGTACTACGTCGTATAAGAGCTCTTCCCGCTGAGGATGTACCTCCACAGTTTACGATGGGTGATGTTGCGAATGTCATCCGAAACGCTAAGTCATCTAAAGCGTTGGGTCCGGACGGAATATCAATAGTAATGTTGAAGCAACTGGATACGCCGGGAGTTGAGTATTTAACCAAAGTCCTTAACTTGTCGTTAGCCACCCACATAGTTCCCGAAGCCTGGAAAATGGGCAGGGTGGTCCCGCTACTGAAGCCTGGCAAGGATGCCAGCAAAGGCGAATCATACAGGCCAATTTCGCTTTTGTCGCCAGTAGCAAAGACTCTCGAGGCCTTACTCCTCCCCAGTATCAGAGGAAGCTATTCAGTTTCTAACCATCAACACGGTTTCCGTCCACTACATAGCACTACAACAGCATTGCACGCCATATACACACATATCAGTCGAGGACTCAACCAGAACAGGCCGTGCCACAGAACAGTAGTGGTGGCTCTCGACCTATCAAAGGCCTTTGATACGGTCAACCATGCCACGCTGTTCGAGGACGTTGAGAACACTACCCTCCGGCCAAGTTTGAAACGTTGGATAGTCAACTATATGTGTGGACGCCAGTCGTACGTGGAATTCCGGAATAAGAAGTCCAAGCCTCGTAGAGTGAAACAGGGAGTTCCCCAAGGTGGGGTGATATCTCCGGAACTGTTTAACATCTACCTTTCCGGAATTCCGCGCCCTCCAGACGGCATCGAGATCGTAACTTATGCGGATGATTGTACGATCATGGCGTCGGGTCCTGTAGTTGATGACATATGTGTCAGGGTGAATAATTATCTCGCGGAGCTTGCCGCCTTCTTCCACGCGAGGAATATGAAAATATCCGCCACTAAATCGACGGCCACACTATTTACCACATGGACTGCGGAGATGAGAACACAGCTGAATGTGCAGGTCGAGGGGCATATAATTCCGACCACCAACTACCCCAAAATTCTTGGGGTCACATTCGATAGCATGTTCAAGTCTTTCGCGCAAGCCACAGCTATTTGCGATAAAATGAAAAGTAGGAACAAGGTCCTCAAGGCGCTAGCCGGCAGCACTTGGGGTGCGGATAAGGAAACCTTGTTGACCTCTTATAAAGCGATAGGTCGGTCTGTGGTTAGCTATGCGGCTCCAGTGTGGTCGGCGAATACAAGTGCAACGCAGTGGAAATGTATTCAGACCTGCCAGAATGCCGCCCTGAGAACTGCAACAGGGTGCCTCCTCATGACGCCTGTGGACCACTTACATGAGGAGACGAAGGTTCTTCCCTTACGTCAGCATAATCATATGCTTTCGTTGCAGTACCTGCTTGGGTGTTATCGCGGGAGTCACCCTAACCACCATATGGTGGATAGAACTCCCCCACCCAGGCGTGTCAGGAAGGACCTGCACGATCTAGAGAGAGAGGTCCAGCGATATAAGAGAGAGCCTCTAGATCATGAAGCCTATCAAGCGGGTCTGAATAGCATTCATACTGATGCAGTCGCAGAGGTAGTCAATAATTACAGTATGAATGCCATACTCGGAGTCCACCCCCCATCCATTGCAGCTGAAGAACGTCGGCTGCCTAGGCAAACCAGGGCACGAATTGATGAGGATGTGCGGAACGCCTGCCCAGCGTGCGATACAGGCCCGCACAACACGCTGCATTTGTTTAATTGTCCTGCCAAGCCTACCCAACTCCGTCCAGAGGATCTATGGCTACAGCCCATAAAGGTAGCAGAATTCCTAAACCTGGACATTGAGGAAGAACCGGATTAGTCGGAAAAAACAACAGAACGTGTAAAACTGCTACAACAACAACAGTTTTTGTAGGGAATAAACCATAAGAGATACATAGAACATGAATTTGAAAAGAAATTTTGACCTTTCATTCAGTTTTTGCGGTTTTTAATTATTTATTCAAACTCAATGCAACAAGTTGTTTGCTTTTTTATTGTTTTGATAGAAATTCTGACATTACGAGCCAAACAGGTAGACCTCTATACTTGCATTTTTTCAAAGTTAGCCTACATCGTCTTCATTGTACCATGGCTGCACCTATTTTATTGCACAGCCAAACCTTCTCAACTCACTCCAGAATATCTCTGGCTACAGCCCGAGTAGCCGAATTTCTAAATCTGGAGCTGGAACCAGATTAGCAGAACGCAAACACTTGCATGTACTACTGCTACAACAACAACGTTTATGTTTTATTCAAAAGAATACGCACATACGCCAACTGTGTATATGTTTTGACAGAATAAAGGCACCGAAAGAAAAAATTGTATTAGGGTAGCTTTATTCTACCTTCTGGAATTATGACATGGTTACAATAATATTTTTATTTTTTAAGTTATTTTAAGTGTGATTCTTAATTTTTTTAATATTTTTAATATCTATTTAACAAACATTTTTAATTAATTGTGATTTAAACTATATAGGATTTGTTTGCTGATGGCACAGCATTGCACCAAGATTAGCAATATAGAGCAAGCTCTGATCCACCTAAAGGAATGTTTGAAGTACGATCCCAATGATATTAATGTATTGATATCGCTCAGTCGGATCTACATGCAAATGAATTCCACAGATTTATGTCGCGACATTTGCTTAAAAATTTTACAAATCGATTGTAACAATGAGGCTGCGTCCGTATTAATGGCTGATCTATCATTTCGCAAGGTATGATTTTTATTAAAATTTGATAAAGTATAAATAATAGTTGTTTTTTATTAGATGGACTTCGAAAATGCTGCATACCACTTCTCACAGCTATTGCTCTCACAGCCTTGCTACTGGACAGCCTTAGCAAGATTGATTGAAGTAATGAGACGGTCTGGATCTTTAAATCACGCTATTTTATTTCTGCAAAAAGCCGAACAAGCAACAGCATTTCCCGGGACATGTCCCGGATTAAACTATTGCCGTGGACTTTACGAATGGTATAATGGGAATCCAAATGGGGCATTACGAAGTTTTAACGTTTCTAGAAGAGATAATGAATGGGGTCCGCAAGCTATATATAATATGATTGAAATATGTATTAATCCTGATGGCGACATACCTAATGGAAATGATTGCTTGGAATCTGAAGAAAATGGAGAAATGAGTGATGCGCGGGCCATTGCATTAAAAACAGCAGAACGTTTATTAAAAGAGCTGAGACCCCGCCCGACTGTTATGAACAACGAAGCAATTAATCATCGATTACTAAAAAATTTTCTAAAACTGGCTTCTAAACAAAAGTTTCAAATTGAATCTGCACTACAAGACTTTCTTGAATTGTCTAATAGAGAAGATCTTCAAGGAAGCGTTGGCCCTATTCTTGGTGCAGCTACGGCTTTGGTTCAATTAAAACAGACTCAACGTGCGAAAAACCATCTAAAACGGGTAGTCCGAGTTGCATGGAATTTTGAAGAAGCCGAGTATTTAGAGCGCAGTTGGTTGTTATTGGCAGACATTTATATTAATTCCAACAAATTGGATGTGGCAGAATCCTTAGTTTTAAAAGTCCTGCAGCATAATAAGTCCTCTTCTAAAGCTTATGAATTAGCAGGATATATATCGGAAAAGTCGCAGCTTTACCGAGACGCTGCTAAAAATTATTGCAGTGCATGGAATTGCAACGGCAGCTCGAAACCACATATCGGCTATAAATTGGCTTACAACTACATGAAAACTAAACAGTTTGTTGAAGCTATAGTAATATGCCAGCAGGTCTTAAAATTACATCCAGATTATGTCATAATTCAAAAAGATATACTAGAAAAATGTATGAATAATTTAAGGTAATAACAATTTGTAATATTATATTAATTATGCATTATCAAAAAACACTAACCTATACAAATGTTTATTAAAACATATATTACAACCTAATAAACATGTTTGAATCCATTTTACATAAAAATGTATATTTTAGCTAATGTTGGATGGTATTTAAAGTTCGGCCTGGCCGAACTTAATGTTTTTTTACTTTTTCTCTATTATTACGGACTTTCCACTGAATTATTGCTTCGATCGTTGTTTTCTTTGCCGATAAATAAGGGAAAATGTGTATTTTATAAACTACGGTTCTACAATTTATTGGCTTATTTTATATTTATACTCCCATATTGCAAGAGAGATATTTCTTTAAAACTTTCTGGTAGCTTTAGCACATCCACTTCTAATAAGAGTTTTGGTCATTTATTTTTCTAAGGGGTAAAACCATAGAGTAATGAAATCTTACAATATCAGGTGCTCAATCCCACGGCAGCGGGTTTTACGATACCGGATTGACCGGAAACAACATCCCAGTTCCGTCCAGCGGCTGTCAACCCAGTATTTACATGTTTGTGTTTGTTTATTTTTCTGCGTTGGGAGCAGTATATTCCGGAATGCTTGCTCCGGATTATATTGGTCCGTGTCGGGATTGAGGAAAACTCTGGACGTGGGTTCTGCTGGGTTTGTCAGAACACGTCATTCACCACCGATCTGTTTCTGTGCGATGTAATGGATATAGGAATGGGCGCACTTTAAGAACTGTTCCTGACTAAGGCGTGTGCGAGACTGCAGCGAAAGAGATTAAGTTGCGACGTGCCCCAGTAGCGTAGTCCCCAGCAAATCCACTTCTTCGTCGTCCTCATCAGAGGCGTCGCCGAAGTATGGAACTCCACCACAGTCTCCAGAACTGCAACCGATATGCTGTTCCAACCACGGATTGTGCATCGTTCTTGCAATTCAATTGCAACAGACTCCGGGGCAAAATAGATGAGATACTGGAATTTATGAATCGGAGGAATATTAAGATCGCAGCGGTGCAGGAAACCAAGCTGAATGAAATTTGCAGCCTACAACGTTGTTACGGTTAGAACGTACTAAGGAAGGATCGCACCAGAAGTGGAGGTGGAGGATTAGCGTTTCTGTTACACCATTCTGTTCAGTACAGACCTATCTCGATTGAGCCATACATGGAATGTATGGGGGTAGCAGTCAAGTGTGGAGGCGAGGTAAAGGTGCTTAGTGTGTATATCCCGTCGATTAATAGCTGTAAACCGCGTTAATTTCCAGATATTAGCCCATTGTTGGTTGGCAATAAACGCCTGGTACTAGGAGATTTTAATGCCCACCATGAGTTGTGGCATTTCATCCTAGTTAATGACAGATAGGATCAGCGCTGACAGGGCAGATTGACTGCTCCACATTCTGCACGGTTAACGGTTACCCCCCATAAGATGAGAGTGTCACAGTTCCCCAGACTTCTCCATAGTGTCACCCGGTCTGATAAATGACGTGACTTGGCAACCCGTTATTTCCCTTGGCTCAGACCATCTCCCGATAATCGTCTCCATAAGCATATCTCCCGATTTCATAATATCTGAACGCCGCACTTTCCTTAACCATGGGAAAGCACATTGGACTAAGTTCAGAGAATTCACTAAACGCTGTTTCAGAGAACTGCCCAACCCTTCTGATGTTCGGGTAGCAGAAAGGATTATCCGAAACATTATGAAAGCTGCAGCCGCTCGCTACATACCTGCTGGTCGAATACCCGAGATAAGACCAAACTTCCCAACAGAGACAGCGGGATTAGTGTGATGATCTCCATCGTAACAACCCTACAGATTCTAGAATCAGTGATTTGACAGTGGATGTCAACCGTTTGGTACAGGAGCATAAGCGGAAAAAGTGGATAGACCACCTGAAATGTTGCAACATTGGAACCGATATGAGTAAGCTGTGGGTAAAGGTTAAGTTGCTCTCGAACCCTGGAAAACGGATGATAGGGCCTCAGTCACTTTTATCGACGTAACGGTGACTATCGAAGAGTACTACGTCGTATCAGATCTATTCCCGCCGAGGTGTGGTTACCACAGTTTACGATGGGTGATGTTGCAAATGTTGGGCCCGGACGGAATCTCAATGGTAATTTTTAAACAGTTAGATATGCCGGGAGTCGAGAACTTAACGAAAGTTCTCAATTTGTCGCTAGCCACCCACATAGTGCCCGATATCTTGAAAATGGGTCGGATGGTCCCGCAATTGAAGCCAGGCAAGGATGCTAGTAAAGGCGAATCGTACAGGCCGATTTCGCTTTTGTTGCCAGTAGCCAATACTACTATACAGTTGCCCACCACCAGCACGGATTCCGTCCACAACAGTATTACACGCCATTTGTACACATATTAGTAGAGGACTGAACCAGAAAAGGCCGTGTGACAGAACAGTTTTGGTTGCCCTTGACCTATCAAAGACATTTGATACGGTCAATCATGCCATACGGTTTGAGGACGTGCATCGAACCACCCTCCGGACAAGTTTGAAATGTTGGATAATCAACTATATGTATTGGAAGTACATCCAGAACTGCCAGAACGCTGCCCTGAGAACTGCGACAGGGTGCCTGCTCATGACACCAGTGGACCATCTACATGAGGAGGCGAAAGTCCTTCCCTTACGTCAGCATGGTCATATGCTTTCGTTGCAGTACCTGCTTGGTGCTACCGTGAGAGTCATCCCAACCATCATATGGTGGATAAATCTCCCCCACTCAGGCGTGTCAGAAAGGACATACATGATCTAGAGAGGGAGGTCCAACGCTACAAGAGAGAACCTCTAGATCAAGAAGCCTATCAGGCAGGTCTGAGTGGCATTCATACCGATGCAGTCGCAGATGCTATTAGCAATTATAAAATGAATGCCGTACTCGGAGTCCACCCCCATCCATTGCAGCTGAACAACATCAGTTGCCTAGACAAACCAGGGTAGTTTTGACGCAATTACGTTCAGGATGGTGTAGTCGTATTGGGCACGAATTGATGAAGATGTGCGCGACGCCTGCCCTTCGTGTGATACAGTCCCGCACAATAGGCTGCACCCATGGTACAATGAATTCAAGGTAGAGCAGAACTACCATATGATTTTAATTTTTTTATTTTTCTGGCTTAATAGTCAACTTTATTTGTTTATGTATGTGTATTCTTTTCAACAATAAAAAAATCAGAAAATATTCAAATTCGGGTGTTTTCAAAATGCTTATAGCAACGTATGCATCGACAAAATCTACAGTTTTTGTATACATGTATACGATAATCGTCTCCATCAGCAGATCGCCCGATTTCATAACCTCTGAACGCCGCACTTTCCTTAACCATGGGAAAGCCCACTGGCCCGAGTTCAGAGAGTTCATCAACCTTCGCTTCAGAGAACTGCCCAATCCTTCTGATGTTCGGGTAGCTGAAAGGATTTTCCGGGACATCATCAAAGCTGCAGCCGCTCGCTATATACCTGCTGGTCGAATACCCGAAGTAAGACCAAATTTCCCAGCAGAGGCAGCGGGATTAGCGAATGAGCGTGATGAGCTCCGACGTACCAACCCTACTGATCCCAGAGTCAGTGAACTGACAGTGGAAGTCAACCGGTTGGTACAGGAGCATAAGCGGAAAAAGTGGCTAGACCATCTGAAGTGTTGCAACATCGGAACCGATTTGAGTAAACTGTGGGTAACGGTAAAGTCACTCTCGAACCCTGGGAAAAAGGATGATAGGACAGCAGTCACATTTAACGACGTAACTGTGACTGATCCGAAGAGGTGCGCTGGCTGTTTTAACCGCCAATTTGTCGAGCACCCCGAGAGTGATAGAGCGAGGCGAAGAGTACTACGTCGTATAAGAGCTCTTCCCGCTGAGGATGTACCTCCACAGTTTACGATGGGTGATGTTGCGAATGTCATCCGAAACGCTAAGTCATCTAAAGCGTTGGGCCCGGACGGAATATCAATAGTAATGTTGAAGCAACTGGATACGCCGGGAGTTGAGTATTTAACCAAAGTCCTTAACTTGTCGTTAGCCACCCACATAGTTCCCGAAGCCTGGAAAATGGGCAGGGTGGTCCCGCTACTGAAGCCTGGCAAGGATGCCAGCAAAGGCGAATCATACAGGCCAATTTCGCTTTTGTCGCCAGTAGCAAAGACTCTCGAGGCCTTACTCCTCCCCAGTATCAGAGGAAGCTATTCAGTTTCTAACCATCAACACGGTTTCCGTCCACTACATAGCACTACAACAGCATTGCACGCCATATACACACATATCAGTCGAGGACTCAACCAGAACAGGCCGTGCCACAGAACAGTAGTGGTGGCTCTCGACCTATCAAAGGCCTTTGATACGGTCAACCATGCCACGCTGTTCGAGGACGTTGAGAACACTACCCTCCGGCCAAGTTTGAAACGTTGGATAGTCAACTATATGTGTGGACGCCAGTCGTACGTGGAATTCCGGAATAAGAAGTCCAAGCCTCGTAGAGTGAAACAGGGAGTTCCCCAAGGTGGGGTGATATCTCCGGAACTGTTTAACATCTACCTTTCCGGAATTCCGCGCCCTCCAGACGGCATCGAGATCGTAACTTATGCGGATGATTGTACGATCATGGCGTCGGGTCCTGTAGTTGATGACATATGTGTCAGGGTGAATAATTATCTCGCGGAGCTTGCCGCCTTCTTCCACGCGAGGAATATGAAAATATCCGCCACTAAATCGACGGCCACACTATTTACCACATGGACTGCGGAGATGAGAACACAGCTGAATGTGCAGGTCGAGGGGCATATAATTCCGACCACCAACTACCCCAAAATTCTTGGGGTCACATTAGATAGCATGTTCAAGTCTTCCGCGCAAGCCACAGCTATTTGCGATAAAATGAAAAGTAGGGACAAGGTCCTCAAGGCGCTAGCGGGCAGCACTTGGGGTGCGGATAAGGAAACCTTGTTGACCTCTTATAAAGCGATAGGTCGGTCTGTGGTTAGCTATGCGGCTCCAGTGTGGTCGGCGAATACAAGTGCAACGCAGTGGAAATGTATTCAGACCTGCCAGAATGCCGCCCTGAGAACTGCAACAGGGTGCCTCCTCATGACGCCTGTGGACCACTTACATGAGGAGACGAAGGTTCTTCCCTTACGTCAGCATAATCATATGCTTTCGTTGCAGTACCTGCTTGGGTGTTATCGCGGGAGTCACCCTAACCACCATATGGTGGATAGAACTCCCCCACCCAGGCGTGTCAGGAAGGACCTGCACGATCTAGAGAGAGAGGTCCAGCGATATAAGAGAGAGCCTCTAGATCATGAAGCCTATCAAGCGGGTCTGAATAGCATTCATACTGATGCAGTCGCAGAGGTAGTCAATAATTACAGTATGAATGCCATACTCGGAGTCCACCCCCCATCCATTGCAGCTGAAGAACGTCGGCTGCCTAGGCAAACCAGGGTAGTTTTGGCCCAACTACGTTCAGGATGGTGCAGCCGTCTCAATTCCTATTGGGCGCGAATTGATGAGGGGTTGCGGAACGCCTGCCCAGCGTGCGATACAGGCCCGCACAACACGCTGCATTTGTTTAATTGTCCTGCCAAGCCTGCCCAACTCCGTCCAGAGGATCTATGGCTACAGCCCATAAAGGTAGCAGAATTCCTAAACCTGGACATTGAGGAAGAACCGGATTAGTCGGAAAAAACAACAGAACGTGTAAAACTGCTACAACAACAACAGTTTTTGTAGGGAATAAACCATAAGAGATACATAGAACATGAATTTGAAAAGAAATTTTGACCTTTCATTCAGTTTTTGCGGTTTTTAATTATTTATTCAAACTCAATGCAACAAGTTGTTTGCTTTTTTATTGTTTTGATAGAAATTCTGACATTACGAGCCAAACAGGTAGACCTCTATACTTGCATTTTTTCAAAGTTAGCCTACCTCGTCTTCATTGTACCATGGCTGCACCTATTTTATTGCACAGCCAAACCTTCTCAACTCACTCCAGAATATCTCTGGCTACAGCCCGAGTAGCCGAATTTCTAAATCTGGAGCTGGAACCAGATTAGCAGAACGCAAACACTTGCATGTACTACTGCTACAACAACAACGTTTATGTTTTATTCAAAAGAATACGCACATACGCCAACTGTGTATATGTTTTGACAGAATAAAGGCACCAAAAGAAAAAATTGTATTAGGGTAGCTTTATTCTACCTTCTTGAATTATGACATGGTTACAATAATATTTTTATTTTTTAAGTTATTTTAAGTGTGATTCTTAATTATTTTAATATTTTTAATATCTATTTAACAAACATTTTTAATTAATTGTGATTTAAACTATATAGGATTTGTTTGCTGATGGCACAGCATTGCACCAAGATTAGCAATATAGAGCAAGCTCTGATCCACCTAAAGGAATGTTTGAAGTACGATCCCAATGATATTAATGTATTGATATCGCTCAGTCGGATCTATATGCAAATGAATTCCACAGATTTATGTCGCGACATTTGCTTAAAAATTTTACAAATCGATTGTAACAATGAGGCTGCGTCCGTATTAATGGCTGATCTATCATTTCGCAAGGTATGATTTTTATTAAAATTTGATAAAGTATAAATAATAGTTGTTTTTTATTAGATGGACTTCGAAAATGCTGCATACCACTTCTCACAGCTATTGCTCTCACAGCCTTGCTACTGGACAGCCTTAGCAAGATTGATTGAAGTAATGAGACGGTCTGGATCTTTAAATCACGCTATTTTATTTCTGCAAAAAGCCGAACAAGCAACAGCATTTCCCGGGACATGTCCCGGATTAAACTATTGCCGTGGACTTTACGAATGGTATAATGGAAATCCAAATGGGGCATTACGAAGTTTTAACGTTTCTAGAAGAGATAATGAATGGGGTCCGCAAGCTATATATAATATGATTGAAATATGTATTAATCCTGATGGCGACATACCTAATGGAAATGATTGCTTGGAATCTGAAGAAAATGGAGAAATGAGTGATGCGCGGGCCATTGCATTAAAAACAGCAGAACGTTTATTAAAAGAGCTGAGACCCCGCCCGACTGTTATGAACAACGAAGCAATTAATCATCGATTACTAAAAAATTTTCTAAAACTGGCTTCTAAACAAAAGTTTCAAATTGAATCTGCACTACGAGACTTTCTTGAATTGTCTAATAGAGAAGATCTTCAAGGAAGCGTTGGCCCTATTCTTGGTGCAGCTACGGCTTTGGTTCAATTAAAACAGACTCAACGTGCGAAAAACCATCTAAAACGGGTAGTCCGAGTTGCATGGAATTTTGAAGAAGCCGAGTATTTAGAGCGCAGTTGGTTGTTATTGGCAGACATTTATATTAATTCCAACAAATTGGATGTGGCAGAATCCTTAGTTTTAAAAGTCCTGCAGCATAATAAGTCCTCTTCTAAAGCTTATGAATTAGCAGGATATATATCGGAAAAGTCGCAGCTTTACCGAGACGCTGCTAAAAATTATTGCAGTGCATGGAATTGCAACGGCAGCTCGAAACCACATATCGGCTATAAATTGGCTTACAACTACATGAAAACTAAACAGTTTGTTGAAGCTATAGTAATATGCCAGCAGGTCTTAAAATTACATCCAGATTATGTCATAATTCAAAAAGATATACTAGAAAAATGTATGAATAATTTAAGGCAATAACAATTTGTAATATTATATTAATTATGCATTATCAAAAAACACTAACCTATACAAATGTTTATTAAAACATATATTACAACCTAATAAACATGTTTGAATCCATTTTACATAAAAATGTATATTTTAGCTAATGTTGGATGGTATTTAAAGTTCGGCCTGGTCGAACTTAATGTTTTTTTACTTTTTCTCTATTATTACGGACTTTCCACTGAATTATTGCTTCGATCACTGTTTTCTTTGCCGATAAATAAGGGAAAATGTGTATTTTATAAACTACGGTTCTACAATTTATTGGCTTATTTTATATTTATACTCCCATATTGCAAGAGAGATATTTCTTTAAAACTTTCTGGTAGCTTTAGCACATCCACTTCTAATAAGAGTTTTGGTCATTTATTTTTCTAAGGGGTAAAACCATAGAGTAATGAAATCTTACAATATGAAATGTTGCAACATTGGCACCTCTTTAATTGCACAGCCAAACCTACCAACTCACTCCAGAATATCTCTGACTACAGGCCGTTAAAGTAGCCGATTTGTGATGGACTTCAATATTTTCACTCATACCCTGAAACAACATATAAGAGACCTGCTGATTGCAATTTTTTCCAAGATAAGCTGTGAGAGCATTCCTTTGTCCATATATATTTATTAGTCTATGCTAGAAACTTAATAACAAAAGAATTCAATTTCTTCAACAGGGTCTCATTTAAACCCTTTCTATTTTTCTACTGCCAAATTTGACATTTTAATCGTACTAGTCAAACAAAAGTTATCAGCATTTTCTAAAAAAAAAAATATTAAAACGTTTGACATTTTGTGGATAAAATTATGCATAGTACTCTCTCATTATGGATGGTAGCTCTCAGCTGCTTACATTTTTTTCTGATAGAGACCGACTTTTGTCAAAAATGTTTGATTTTTTTATTTTTGAGTATTCAAAATACTTTAAATTCAAAACAAAAACATGTGGCCAAAATAAAAATCCTTTGATGACTGTGGTCTATACAAGGAAGTCTGCTAAATTTAGTGTACCTTAGACAAGTCATCTTAATGGGGAAATATAAGGGTTTTATTTATCTTGTAGGAATTTGTCCATGCTTTTTTATGGAGCCTTAAATTCACATTGTCAGAATTCAATCCCTCTTTTTATTCAAATTTGCCATCTCTTGCGCAAAACTTAATTTCAGATTTCGAATTGAAAATATGAAAATTTAAAGAAAGAAAAACCAAAATTGACGTTTGTCATTGTAATTCTTTTTGACAGAAAGCTGACAGCGCTTTAGGGTTATATCAGGCATAATTACAGAAGGTAGAACAAACCTACCGACTAAATATATTTTTTTCTTTGTGCCCTTATTATGTCAAAACATACACACATTTTGTGTATGTGTATTGTTTTGATTAAAAAATACAATAATTTGAAATTATTTCAAATTTGGTTGCATTGCACAATTTTGGGGTAATTTTTACGAATCTGATCTATCTTCTTATTGTACCCTTAAAAAGCTAAATTAATAATTGAGAAATGCTAAGAAAAATTCTAAATAAAAATGTTGCAGCTACATATAAAACAATAATGCTTATTTTAGTTGCAAAAATACTAAAATGGTCACACTGATTGAATGAACCTACTTTATGCCATGTTTATGCTAGTAATTTTTGTAAGGTTAACACTTTAATAAGATTTATTTGAAGTATGTATTGGTAGAAAAATACAGGTAGTCGCATCGAAACCGCTGCTAAGGCAATGAATGTCCAACTGATTTTGGAATTGAAAATGTTGAATGAAAATTATTAAAATAAACAACATCCGGTTTGCTTCGTAAAAGAAAACATATAACAATCTCATATTTTTGACAAAATATTTTAAAAATTTTAACATATCAATGTTCCTAAGCGTTGATGCATTGCACAACTTAAAGAATGTGGGGAAAATGCAACTCTGTACCGGAGTCCTATAGTGTCAAATATGGCTTAATTAGAAAGGTTGCTCCACTTAAAAAAATAGGGAAGTGCAACTCTGTACTGGATTATTATTGTATCAAACAGATTTTTAAACATGCAACAGGACAATACATCAACCCCATCAACGTTGAAAATATGCATTTATTTTACAGCTGAATTCGAAATAATTTTATTTTTTATTCAAAGCAAAATGTGTATATGTTTTGGCAGAATAAGTGCGCCAAAAGAAAAAATTATATTTAGGAGTAAGCGTTGTTCTACCTTCGGTAATTGTGCATGGATTGGGGCATTATAGTTAATTCGGTTGTGGGTTGAACAGAATAAACGATTGCCGTTCAGACTTACTTTGTCTTCATCCGATCTCTCTTAAAATTCGAATTTAATCGTAGATCTCACCAGAAACGATTATGCTTTCTTCTCCGTTGTTCATCGGTTTCACAACGAACATAAAGTTGCCAAACAGTTTTAACTTGATTCCGAACCACACCCTGTCTGTGATACCAATGTTCTAGAACTAGCATTATCTACTAATTTTGAAATTTTTTCGATATCATAAAGGAAAATTGGTTATCGTAGAAAAAACTTTCATAATTTTGCAGTTCTGGAACAGGGTATAAATGTGAAAAATTTTCCCCCACCAATTGGAAAGTAACTCATATAAAAATATGTCTTTAAATGCCAAAATTCCAGTATTAGAGTTGTATGTATCACTTATGTTATTACGACCATCCAATCCAAATTCCGAATAGTTCTCTAAAAAGTCATCACAATCTGCGGGATAGGAGCTATAGAAAAAACTTGACTTATATAGAAATTGTTCAATATAAACAGAAAACCCCATTACGAAATCCAAATATTGAGTTTTATTTCGAACTTGACCTGAGTGCAGACAAAAGACAACTATATGCAAAATGTTAGCTTCCTATTACATGCCGTTTGAACTCTGGAGAGATTACAACAGACGGATTTATACTATGTATCCGGAGGGTGTAAAAATGGAAAGAAAAATGCAGAACTGCTTGATTATTTCTTATTGTCATATGATTAATTAATTATTTTTCGAACGTCACTAGAAGCAACATAAATACGTATACAATGCTTATTCAAATAACGAGTGGTTGAAAACATCAGTCAAGTTCTCCCAAATTGATATATTAATGTCGGGGTTTGCCCCATTGATACATAGCTTCCAATGTCTTACTCTAAATAAAAACAAAAAATCTATCTTCCTGAGAGGTTACCAAAGTGAAAACCGAAAATTATATTATTGACCGTTTTTCTGTAATTTCTCGCGACGAATCCTGAAAAAGCTCTTTGAAGATTATTTGTTGTGGTTTTTATAACCACATCCACTATGAAAATAAGGATATATTCAATTCGTCATTTCGTTTGCTCTCTAAATATTCATCGTAAACCTCATAAAGTAGATATACAGGGTGAGATGAAAAAACTGCAACAAACTTCAGACTGCTGTCATTTCTAAGCCACTCGTCCGACAGCTGTTAAATTATTCCAGTGACAGCTCATTATATTGTTTACAAGCATACAAAAGCATTTTGGTGAGAGTTTTTCAGAAAAAATGTTATTCGTGATGGATTTCAAGCTGATAGTGTGATTTCTTTATATTTGGCTGGAAAACCACAAGTGGCTATCGTTATAGAACTCCAGAATTTAAATGTTAATAAATCTTTTATGTCACGTACCATCGCTCGTTACCACGATACTGGTAGCGTAGCCCGATGTTAAGGAAGTGGGCGGAAGAAAGCATCAGCAGAAATGGTTTGAAAAGTAAAGAAGCGACATATCGCAATATTCCATTCGGCAAATATTGAAAAATGAGCTCGGGGTAAAGCCATTCAAATTCCAAAAAGTGCAAGAACTTACACCGCAACATAAATGATCATGTTTACTTGCCAAAGAGGTCAGCTGAAAATGTACACCTTCGGTTGGCCACTAGAACTCATGCGCCGGCCGTGGTGATGGTGCGGGCCGCCATAACAAAAAAATGTAAAATTATGGCGTTTGACTTTGTTGCAGTTTTTTTTATCTCACCCTGTATTCATGATCTGCACACAATTCTAAGTCTATTTAACGACGTCCACCTGTCTGGTATACTGCGATGTTGTATATGTTAATATATATAAGGTAATATGTAATGCATAAACATTAACATTAACTAAAAAACTAAGTGATGCCATCCCAAAAGAAGCGACGCTGACAAGTAGAATAAGGGTGATGATGTTCGCATCAACAAAAAGTCTTCGATACCATAAAGGGAGAATCGGTTACCATAGTAAAAACTTTTACATTGTTGCAGTTCTAGAAAAGAACTAGTATGTTAGTGCTTGCTTATTTTCTGCACTGGAAACGAACCAGCAAAGCGCATGCTCCAGATTCTTGTGGTCCGTGTAGTGTTGTTCCAAATTATGACTGTGTATCATTTTTCCATTTCAATTGCAACGGGGTCCGAGGTAAGATAGATGAAATGATGTAATTGCAGCGGGGAAGGAAACCATGTATTGAGGAAAGATCTCAAGAACTGGAACACCATATCCCAAGAACTGGAGGTGGCGGATTAGCGTTTCTGTTACAACATTCTGTACAATACAGAACTATTTTGACGTCATCCGAACGCCAAGTCGTCCAAAGAGTTGGACCCGTATGGAATCTCAGTGGTTACGGTGAAACAGCTGGATACATCTGCTGTCGTTGCCCATCAATAAAGCTCGTGAGCTTGCTTTAAAACTCAAATTTGCAAAAAATTCTACCATAAATACATATTTTTCGAATCGTGCTTTTTAATCTTTACAATGATAAAATAGGGCGCAGACGTTTATCTCTTTTATTTATTGGTTCATTGAGGTTAATTTTCCGGTGATATGTGGGAAAAATAATAATAAAATATTTGCTAAATATAAAGATTAAGTATTCCATGTTAAAATCTGTTAATTGGATAAAGAAGAGAATGGCTGGTTATAAATATCTTATGTTACATTGTAATGATTATTTTATATAAAAAGTACATTTTGAGTCATTATATCTTTTTATTTAATACTGCATTAATAATTAATTAATTTGGAACAGGCTTTTCATAATTTATTCTGCCTATTTTGGAATTTCCACGCGATTGCATTTGATTTTCCTCGCGATTAACTTTATTAACGTTTTTGGAAATGGACCATTTATCTGCCAAATTTACTGCTCCACCATTTATTGTTTTACGTCTGGAATCCATCGAATTGGTTGACAGTCTTGTCTTATTATAGCTGATTCCATATTTGTTTTCAGTGTTGCAAGCTCCTAATCTATCAAAAAGTTTAGCTTTTGCTATCACCATTCCAGCATTGTGGGTTCTTAATTGGTTAATTGACGCTCGACCACTGTCGTCATTATTTATTGTTCCAGACATTTGAATTCGACTGACAAATGGTACTTTACTTGTTGAGGCCGATTTAATAGATTTTTGTTTAATTACTATTGGAGAAGATGCCGAACTGTTAACATGAAATATTTCACCCAGATCCCTTTTGGAGGAAATATCATTCCTTGAATATTCAAAATATAGTTTTTGTTTTGTATTATTTACTGTATTAGAATTCAGTGGAACTTCTCCAAAAAAATTTTCTCCAGGTACCCACATATTGCTATTTTTAATAACAACTTCGCGTTCTTTATAATTTTGAGTGGTCTCCCGAAAACTACAAATAGGTCCTACGCTCTGTCGTGATCGCTTTAAATGAATTTTGGAGTTTGTGTTTTTATTAGAAACATCGTTGTTATTTATAATGTCATTCCCTCCTCTTTGCTTTACCATAGTAGTCTCCCTGCGTCTTATGCTTCCAATTTTACGTGCACTTGGTGAACGTAAATCCACGTTGCAGGAACGACGAAGGTGTTTTTGTTCACGAATAAAAAGGTCCCTTTTCTGTAACGACAATGCCTGGGTTTCCTTTAAAATTCTTTCGTACTTCCTTTGTATATTTTCCATATCATTACAGGATTTTTCTAAAGAGATTTCAATTTGAATTAAATCCTTAATTTCATTATGATGGTCTTTAAAATTATCGCATATATAATCAATTTTATTCGTATATTTTTCTTGGCAACATGGCGCGCTCATTACATCCTCTGTACTTGATTGCCGTTTAAGTGCATTATTGTCCACCTGGTTTTTTTTACTTTTTTCATCTGAAGAACCTTCAGCATTATTAAGATTTTGCTCATCTGGACTCCCCACAATGCTCCATCGTCTTTCAATGGATGAAACAAATATTTGTGGATTTAAACTCTCAATCTTTTGAATATGGTTCAGGCTAGAACGGTGTTTTGTAGTCTTCCTAAAATTGAATAAAAAATTAACCAATCAAATATCTATATACATAAAAAAATTTGTGTTAGCTACTACGCTTATCACTCAAGAACCGATGGTCTGATTTTAGCGATAAAGAAAAATTCGGGATTGTCTCTTGACAGAAAAGTATAAGATCAAAAAAAAAAAATAAATAAATAAATAAATAAAAATGTGAAAAATGTGAAATGTGTTATTTATAGATTTTATGTATTTATTGAGTAAGAGGATAAACTATGAACGAAAAAATCAATATTTTATCGCGTAGGAACGGTTTATTTAATTTGATCAACTTTATTTAATTGACTCGATTTCTTGCGAATTGTGTGGTGGCGAAACTGAATAGATGATGTCGAAATAATTTAACGCGGTCACACCAAAGTTAAAGGAAAATTTTCTTTTTTATAATCGCTAAAAATAAAAAAGGCTGTATCCTTGCACAAATCCTAAAATCGAAAAAATCGATAAAAATTTTCAATTGGATCGAATTTCAAAATAATGGTATAGACTATTGACAAAATCTTCAACAAGTTGAAGATTTTTTTCTTTTTTCAATTCGTTTTTCTTTCCTGTCAATTTTATATAATGTACCATTTTTTTAAATTGGCTTATCATATTGAATTTATTAGTTTTTTGTGAACAAAATAAAAACTTATTTCATCATATAAAAGAAACTTTTATACCTCTAGAACGGTGGTCTGATTTTGATATATATATATATATATATATATATATATATATATATATATATATATATATATATATATATATATATCTATATATATATATATATATATATATATATATATATATATATATATATATATATATATATATATATATATATATATATATATATATATATATATATATAATATATATGTATATGCTTTACATTCTGTATGTAAAATTTTATACATGTATATGAATTGGCATCTAGCTTTCCAAACACAGGTCCTACATCGTACTTCTGCTAGAAGATGCGAACACATTTAAACAAACAAAAATGGTCAACTCTGCTGTATGGGGCTCATATCAAAACGTGAACCTATTTCTTCCATATGGCCGTAATCCGTCCAATGAAAACTCAAAATGCAAAATTTATTGGGACTGTAATCAGGTAAATACCGAATATAAAGAGGCACTACAAATTGCGGACTATATAAAATGGTAAAGCGAATTTTAAATTTTGTAACAAAAGGATACATATCCTCCGAAAATTCGTGCGAAATCTTAATCATATAATTAATCTTATATTTAAATCACAGGTATCGTTTTATGCAATAGCGAGTAACGACATTGCGCGACATGCGTGGATAGTATGCAGTTAGTAGATCAAAGTTCCAAAAAGAGGTTTGGGTACAAAATGACAGAGCGAATTTATAATTAAGTAAGGAAAGGAAACATATCCTCCGAATATTCTTCGGAAATTTGCAAAATTTACGATAGTTTTGGATTTGATACAATTCAATGGGTTAAATGTAATTGAACAAAATATGGGATATGTCTGTCTACGATTTGATATTGCCCACATATAAGGGTATATCCCGATATCAATTACTTTTTATACCTTTTTAAACTTATTTCAACAAATTTTGGTAACTTGAGAACTTAGAAAGAAAAAAATGTTCTTTCAAAAAGATATGTCTGTCTACGTTTTGATATTGCCCACATATAAGGGTATACCCCGATATCAATTACTTTTTAAACTTATGTCAACAAATTTTGGTAACTTGAGAATTTAGAAAGAAAAAAATGTTCTTTCAAATAGTAGTAGTATTGCCCACGTTTTGGTATAACCCTCATATAAAGGTTTCTCCCTGATTTTAGCTTTACGGGGCCATGCCATATTTTTCAATTGTTCTACTACGTTCACTCATATGTCAAGACTCGCTTGTGCAAATAAATCGAGTCTTATTATATTTTGTCAAAATACTTTAAAAAGTATGCAAAAATTCACTTAACTCCTTTACCAAAATTTGTTTAAAATTTAAATTTTTTATAAATGTTTTTTTTTTGTATTTAAAAAAATTACTAAATAATGTAAGTAAATACTGTTAAGTATTAATAAGGGATATGAGATTTGAAACATTACTAAGTAGAATAGACAAAATTATAGATTAGTTTCTCAAAAAAGTTGAGAAAGCTAGCTAATATTTTTGCATAGTTCATATATAATGCCCTATATCCAGGCGTCTCCAGTTTCAATTGTATAGCGAAATTCAAATATACAAATTTACAAAATGTATAAAAATTATTTTGAACAAAAAAAAAACTTCTATAACCTCCATCATTTGGAAAGTATGAATAGGGCACGTAGAACAACGTTAATCTATATGAAAATTGTTCCGCTAGAGGATTAATACCATTTGCAAAATACCGAAATTTACGTAGTTCTGGTAGAAAATATGACTAAAGTCTTCAAATGCCGAATACGGGAGGTACCGTTTTATGAGGTCATTGGAAAATGTTGACCTATATAGAAAATATCCCGACATATTGGGTACAACCTGTTATTAACTCTAAATACCGAATTTTAAATTACCAAAAGTTCGCATACAAAATCCTGTTTTTAGCCTGTTCTACTTAACCGATTTATACAACATGGGTATCATTTGAAAGCTTATGAAAATACTAATCGTTTTGGTAAGTAAAAATGGTGTCATATATGTCGATATGTCTACCGTAATTCCTATGATATTGGATTTTCTCCACCAATTTAAGTAGCCGGCCTTCAACTAGGGTTTAAGTGCATGTTCAACAACAACTACGCGATTCGCAGTTTTTCTGAATTTTACCCTATTGTAAATAGGCGTCCTTTGGCCGGGGATTGGATTTTTTTGAAGCAAATATCTTCGGAACTACATATATGACATTTTGACAAGACTATAATGTATATGTTTGATTCCAATGCTTTCATATCGTTCCTCTGAAATTGTAGTTGCAAGCTAAATGTACAAATCTTACTATCCTTTTGAATTGGAATTTTTGTATTTAAAAAAGTATATATTCTTATGTTTATCAAAAAGAGAAATTAAAACGTCGAATCGCTAATATCATTGTTGAATCAAATCAGTTGGATTTCGCGAGTTCAAAGGAGAAAGTAACAATGGCAGCAATAAACGTTTGCACATGATATCAAGTCATATGTTAAGTGACATTTATTATAATTTGCATTTTTTGCATAACTTATAAGTAACGCTATACTACCTAACTATATGCTATATCACACTACTATAAATATACCTGTGTTTTATTATATACTTTTAGTTTATAATAATTTATACAAAAATACAAAGCATTTCTTTATCGAGAGGGAGCATCCAAAAGTATATTATAATAATGCAAGAGATACTTGTAGAAAAAGTCAATTTACTTATAGCCTTTACTTATAACTGGTGAAGAATTTACTTTTCTTTCTGATCAAAAATTTTTACAGCGTCGACGTTTTTCATTACACAAGTTAAATACATGTATTTATATGAATGTTACCGAATACATCGAGCGAAAGGTGTATTTATAAGATGACACGGTAAGACCAAAACGAATTACTTTAATGACAAATAAATAAAAAATTAATATTTTATACACTATGGGCAGGGTATTAAGTCTTTGTGCATTAGTTTGTAACATAGAGAAGGAAGCGAGATAGACCCATAGTTCCTTTTGATGATGTACATAGAATCACATTCTGAGTCGATTCATGCATGTCCGTCCGTCTGTACATGTATTTTTCTAAACAAAGTAAAATTCAGAAAAACTGCGTAGTTGTTGTTGAACATACACTTAAGCCCTAGTTGAAGGCCGGCTACTTAAATTGGTGGAGAAAATCCAATATCATAGGAATTACGGTAGACATATCGACATATATGACACCATTTTAAAAGGCAGGAGTATTTACTACAATATGGTACAAAAATACCAATTTGCTCGTATATTTTTTCTTTTTTCAATTCGTTTTTCTTTCCTGTCAATTTTATATAATGTACCATTTTTTTAAATTGGCTTATCATATTGAATTTATTAGTTTTTTGTGAACAAAATAAAAACTTATTTCATCATATAAAAGAAACTTTTATACCTCTAGAACGGTGGTCTGATTTTGATATATATATATATATATATATATATATATATATATATCTATATATATATATATATATATATATATATATATATATATATATATATATATATATATATATATATATATATATATATATATATATATATATATATATATATATATATATATATATAAATATATATGTATATGCTTTACATTCTGTATGTAAAATTTTATACATGTATATGAATTGGCATCTAGCTTTCCAAACACAGGTCCTACATCGTACTTCTGCTAGAAGATGCGAACACATTTAAACAAACAAAAATGGTCAACTCTGCTGTATGGGGCTCATATCAAAACGTGAACCTATTTCTTCCATATGGCCGTAATCCGTCCAATGAAAACTCAAAATGCAAAATTTATTGGGACTGTAATCAGGTAAATACCGAATATAAAGAGGCACTACAAATTGCGGACTATATAAAATGGTAAAGCGAATTTTAAATTTTGTAACAAAAGGATACATATCCTCCGAAAATTCGTGCGAAATCTTAATCATATAATTAATCTTATATTTAAATCACAGGTATCGTTTTATGCAATAGCGAGTAACGACATTGCGCGACATGCGTGGATAGTATGCAGTTAGTAGATCAAAGTTCCAAAAAGAGGTTTGGGTACAAAATGACAGAGCGAATTTATAATTAAGTAAGGAAAGGAAACATATCCTCCGAATATTCTTCGGAAATTTGCAAAATTTACGATAGTTTTGGATTTGATACAATTCAATGGGTTAAATGTAATTGAACAAAATATGGGATATGTCTGTCTACGATTTGATATTGCCCACATATAAGGGTATATCCCGATATCAATTACTTTTTATACCTTTTTAAACTTATTTCAACAAATTTTGGTAACTTGAGAACTTAGAAAGAAAAAAATGTTCTTTCAAAAAGATATGTCTGTCTACGTTTTGATATTGCCCACATATAAGGGTATACCCCGATATCAATTACTTTTTAAACTTATGTCAACAAATTTTGGTAACTTGAGAATTTAGAAAGAAAAAAATGTTCTTTCAAATAGTAGTAGTATTGCCCACGTTTTGGTATAACCCTCATATAAAGGTTTCTCCCTGATTTTAGCTTTACGGGGCCATGCCATATTTTTCAATTGTTCTACTACGTTCACTCATATGTCAAGACTCGCTTGTGCAAATAAATCGAGTCTTATTATATTTTGTCAAAATACTTTAAAAAGTATGCAAAAATTCACTTAACTCCTTTACCAAAATTTGTTTAAAATTTAAATTTTTTATAAATGTTTTTTTTTTGTATTTAAAAAAATTACTAAATAATGTAAGTAAATACTGTTAAGTATTAATAAGGGATATGAGATTTGAAACATTACTAAGTAGAATAGACAAAATTATAGATTAGTTTCTCAAAAAAGTTGAGAAAGCTAGCTAATATTTTTGCATAGTTCATATATAATGCCCTATATCCAGGCGTCTCCAGTTTCAATTGTATAGCGAAATTCAAATATACAAATTTACAAAATGTATAAAAATTATTTTGAACAAAAAAAAAACTTCTATAACCTCCATCATTTGGAAAGTATGAATAGGGCACGTAGAACAACGTTAATCTATATGAAAATTGTTCCGCTAGAGGATTAATACCATTTGCAAAATACCGAAATTTACGTAGTTCTGGTAGAAAATATGACTAAAGTCTTCAAATGCCGAATACGGGAGGTACCGTTTTATGAGGTCATTGGAAAATGTTGACCTATATAGAAAATATCCCGACATATTGGGTACAACCTGTTATTAACTCTAAATACCGAATTTTAAATTACCAAAAGTTCGCATACAAAATCCTGTTTTTAGCCTGTTCTACTTAACCGATTTATACAACATGGGTATCATTTGAAAGCTTATGAAAATACTAATCGTTTTGGTAAGTAAAAATGGTGTCATATATGTCGATATGTCTACCGTAATTCCTATGATATTGGATTTTCTCCACCAATTTAAGTAGCCGGCCTTCAACTAGGGTTTAAGTGCATGTTCAACAACAACTACGCGATTCGCAGTTTTTCTGAATTTTACCCTATTGTAAATAGGCGTCCTTTGGCCGGGGATTGGATTTTTTTGAAGCAAATATCTTCGGAACTACATATATGACATTTTGACAAGACTATAATGTATATGTTTGATTCCAATGCTTTCATATCGTTCCTCTGAAATTGTAGTTGCAAGCTAAATGTACAAATCTTACTATCCTTTTGAATTGGAATTTTTGTATTTAAAAAAGTATATATTCTTATGTTTATCAAAAAGAGAAATTAAAACGTCGAATCGCTAATATCATTGTTGAATCAAATCAGTTGGATTTCGCGAGTTCAAAGGAGAAAGTAACAATGGCAGCAATAAACGTTTGCACATGATATCAAGTCATATGTTAAGTGACATTTATTATAATTTGCATTTTTTGCATAACTTATAAGTAACGCTATACTACCTAACTATATGCTATATCACACTACTATAAATATACCTGTGTTTTATTATATACTTTTAGTTTATAATAATTTATACAAAAATACAAAGCATTTCTTTATCGAGAGGGAGCATCCAAAAGTATATTATAATAATGCAAGAGATACTTGTAGAAAAAGTCAATTTACTTATAGCCTTTACTTATAACTGGTGAAGAATTTACTTTTCTTTCTGATCAAAAATTTTTACAGCGTCGACGTTTTTCATTACACAAGTTAAATACATGTATTTATATGAATGTTACCGAATACATCGAGCGAAAGGTGTATTTATAAGATGACACGGTAAGACCAAAACGAATTACTTTAATGACAAATAAATAAAAAATTAATATTTTATACACTATGGGCAGGGTATTAAGTCTTTGTGCATTAGTTTGTAACATAGAGAAGGAAGCGAGATAGACCCATAGTTCCTTTTGATGATGTACATAGAATCACATTCTGAGTCGATTCATGCATGTCCGTCCGTCTGTACATGTATTTTTCTAAACAAAGTAAAATTCAGAAAAACTGCGTAGTTGTTGTTGAACATACACTTAAGCCCTAGTTGAAGGCCGGCTACTTAAATTGGTGGAGAAAATCCAATATCATAGGAATTACGGTAGACATATCGACATATATGACACCATTTTAAAAGGCAGGAGTATTTACTACAATATGGTACAAAAATACCAATTTGCTCGTATTACTTATCAGAACGATAGGTATTTTCATAAGCTTTCAAATGATACCCATATTGTATAAATCGGTTAAGTAGAACAGGATAAAAACTATATAAAAACTATAAATTTGTATATTTGAATTTCGCTATACAATTGAAACTGGAGACGCCTGGATATAGGGCATTATATATGAACTATGAATAAATATGAACTAGCTTTCTCAACATTTTTGAGAAACTAATCTATAATTTTGTCTATTCTACTTAGTAATGTTTCAAATCTCATATCCCTTATTAATACTTAACATTATTATTACATTATTTAGTAATTTTTTTAAATACAAAAAAAAGACATTAATAAAAAATTTAAATTTTAAACAAATTTTGGGAAAGGAATTAAGTGAATTTTTGCATACTTTTTAAAGTATTTTGACAAAATATAATAAGACTCGATTTATTTGCACAAGCGAGTCTTGACATATGTGTGAACGTAGTAAAACAATTGAAAAATATGGCATGGCCCCGTTAAGCTAAAATCAGGGGGAAACCTTTATATGAGGGTTATACCAAAACGTGGGCAATACTACTATTTGAAAGAACATTTTTTTCTTTCTAAATTCTCAGGTTAGCAAAATTTGTTGAAATAAGTTTAAAAAGTATAAAAAGTAATTGATATCGGCGTATACCCTTATATGTGGGCAATATCAAAACGTAGACAGACATATCCCATATTTTGTTCAATTACATTTAACCCATTGAATTGTATCAAATCCAAAACTATCGTAAATTTTGCAAATTTCCGAAGAATATTCGGAGGATATATATATATATATATATATATATATATATATATATATATATATATATATATATATATATATATATATATATATATATATATATATATATATATATATATATATATATATATTTATGGTTAATAAAGTCCCAATTGAATGGATATAAGGTATAGGCGAACGAATTCAGCAAAAAAGTGTATCAACTTTGGTGAAAATCAGTTAAAATATGGGAAATATGTATGGGACTTATAGTTCCATACATATTTTCCATCCGATTTTGTATTTAAGTCCCTTACACCCGTAGATTACTCTTCACAATAACGATATTTGACCCCAGCTTTCAGACACAGCATACAAATTCCTCTGCTAAATTTTATAAAGATCTGTTCAGATTTGGAAATAGCTCCCATATATATCTTCATCTGATTTCACGTTTATTGTGCATAAGAAACGTAATATCTGTTCAAATAATATGAATTTTGGTGAATATCGGTTTAGACACAAATGTCTTCGTCAAATTTAGTGGAAATTAAGGGAAGGATATAACGATATATATGTATTATGTAAATCGTGAAACATATAGATTTTAATCTATAGTTGAATACTTACTTGATCAGCGGAGTGCTCGGTAGTAAACCACCACTATTACTTGGAAGAAGCGCCAACAAGTCACGCCTAAAATGTAATATTCGCTCATAACGAACTATAATACAAACGCATTGGACTTACTTCTTTTTCAGGCTAAAAGCGCTCATTGGTTCAGGAAATTTACGTTTTTTCCTTGATTTATTATAGGGAGTACTTGGATTTATAGAATCAGACATTAGAATATTTGAGGCGGTATTACACTTCTGCAAGCCTTTTTCCAATTCTTCTGTGCTTCCCATAGCTGACCCAACCAATTTTTTAAAGCCATTGAACATATCTGGAAGCATTGAAAAGGTAAGACAATTTTCAAGTTGAGCCCAATTATTATACTTGTTAACGAACCGCTGCGTCTTTTTTGCTTTTTTTTAGTATTTATATTTTCAACCGAATTTGCAGATGTAATTGACGAAAGTTCTGATTCTGAGGTTACCTTCGGTTGTAGTTTATGTGCAATATTTATTGGAACAATGCCAATTATGTTAGCATTTTCAATAAGAATTTGAACAACTTTAAGGTGATTTATAAAGCGGCGGCTGTTAATGTCCCCAAACGGCATTAATCCTGGAGTAAGGATGATAGCCAAATTCTCTGCAGACATTTTATTGGCATTTTCACTGAGCGAAACGGTTTGAAGAAACTGCATAAAAAACCGCAAGGTATTAATTGTAAGCGTAGGAAGAAGTAAGCAGGATAATAATATTGCTTTCTTATTTTTTTCCCCTGCTAGCAATGCACGCAGCATTGTCTCCTGTATAAATGTCGGTATTAGTGGTTCCGGAAGCTCTCGAAAAAAATACTTAATCACATTTGCAACATCTATAACATGATGTGATTTTCCGAGTGGGATGCCATTCTCCAAAATTACCTGTTGAAGAAATACACATGAACATATTTAGTTTTGGGTCTCTACACGGAACTATCTTGTAGTAGAATTTTCGGTAAATGCCATTGATCATTTTTGCTGAGGCAATAATTTGCATTTGCTCCCCATCCACTTTTAAAACCTACATACATTGTAGATTTTAAATCAATATACTTGCCCGAATTTCTTTTTGTCTCAACGAAGAACCAGCTTTTCTGAATATGCCTTCCGTTTCTACCTGTTCTAATATTCGATTGGTTGCGTCGGCCACAAATTTTGGAATTTGAACAACGCTTCCATTCGCGAGAATAACATCACAGAGTTCTAGGTGATGGAGAGGTACTCGAAATATACGTTTACTTCCACTAACAAGTGTATTCTTTTGTGTTGCTTTTAATTTCTCTTTAAAGAATTTAATGCCCATCGACTTCAATTCGCTTATGACAGCTTTGAACAATTCATCTCTGTTCAGAAATACCGTAAAATCCATATTACTGCGACACACACCAGAAAAATCAAGGAAAACTATTATCAAAATACTTGTACTTCAAATCAAGATTTCTTCCGCCAAACATTGAAGACTTACGGGAACGCGGTCAACGGAGTAGGGGTATGTAATGACGGCTTATTGATTAATTGACTTTAGCCATCCCTTTTGCTTATACAATGTTCCCATTGCAATTTGAATCACGTTGTTCGCTCTTAAAATTACGTACAGGAATTTAGGCGTTCAAACCACGCATGGCACTGGCAGAAGAATACAGGTAGATGCATTAACGCTTAGGTACATTGATATGTCAAAAATGTTGAAATGTCTTTTCAAATATAAGTAGATTTTTATATGTTTTCTTATACGACGTCATTCGGAGGTTATTATAATCCGTGCTTTTCAACAAATTTTACAAATTTTAAAAAATTTTCTTCAACATTTTCAATTCCAAAATTGGTTTGACAGTTCATTGTGCTAGCAGCTGCGTCGATGCGTCTACCTATATTCTTCTACCATGGCATGGCAGAAGAATACATCACTTGGGAGCATTGATATGTCAAAAAATTTAAATGTTTTTTTTTTAAATACATAAGTGGATTTTTATATATTTTTATTCATACGACGTCATTCGGAGTTTATTATAATTCGTGTTTTTCAACATATTTTACAAATATAAAGAATTTTTCATTTAAGAATTTTTTTTAGAATTTTTCAAATAGACTTTTAAATATGCAACAGTTGGTTTTGTCTATTTTCATTTTTTTTTACAAAATTTTTAAATCGGGGAAAACTCGCGAAACAAGAATGGGATTTTGGGGTTCTTCGACAAGATTGAATCTAAAATAGTAGGACAATACAGTTTTATCCCAAAATTGTACAATGTGTTGCCCATTAACGCCGAAAATATGCATTTATTTTGCAACCGAATTTAAAATAATTTCAAATTATTGTATTTTTTGTGGGAATACATCGCTTTTTTTACTAGCTTAAGGCATCTGCGTATAGGAACAAAGGAGTTTGAGGTTGACTGAGTTTAATTTTGGTCCTTCGCTCCTTTGTTCCAAGAAGCCAGCCGATGACTTAAGCCAGTTTCACACCTGCCCTTGCCGACAGAGGGGGCCACCTTCCCATAGGCAGAGAGCGCGTACACACCAAAGACCGTACTAAAGGTGAAAATACATTAAATGCTTTTTTGACTGCCTTAAGTCATCGGCTGACTTCTTCGGAAAAGAACAAAGGAGCATAGGACCAAAATCGAACTAAGTCAATATAAAACTCTTTTGTTCCTCTACGAAGAAGCCATGATAGAAGAATATAGGTAGACGCGTCGACACAGCTGCTGGGACAATGAACTGTCAAACCAATTTTGGAATTGAAAATGTTGAATGAAAAATTATTTAAATTTATAAAAATTGTTGAAAAACGCAAATTATAATAGCCTTCGAATGACGTAGTATAAGAAAACATATAAAAATCTACTTATATTTGAAAAAAAAAAAAACATTTAATTTTTTGACATATCAATGCTCCCAAGCGTTGATGCATCTACCTGTATTCTTCTGTCATGGAAGAAGCCAGCCGATGACTTAAGCCAGTGAAAAAGCGTCATTTGCCACTCGTTGAAATCTGTTGACAATTACAGATTTCAACAATGTTAATCATTTACAAATTAATTATGCGTTAACCCATTGTAAACATAGCAAAACAATAATTTCCAATCCATATTAATCATGCCGCCCAAATTGCAACATATTGAGATGTTGTAACTAAAAATACAACATATCGTTAGCTAAAATGCAAAAAGACGGAACTAACATGAAATTGAAAATTGAGCCTTTGAATGAATATTATTAATGGCATTAAAGTACATTTCTTTACAAAATTTTACACGCCTCCGATCAAAAAAAAAAAAAAAACGCACTTTTATTAACTTGGTAAAAGTCCTCATTCGATATGTTTGAAGTTTACATTAAAAGTTTTTTGTTTCGAACAGTGTTAGCTTGTTTTTTTTCCGGATACTATAGGATTTTGTTGCTACAAAATGGTCAGGCTTAATCCCTTTACGTTTGTTTATTAGTGGAGAACGATAGTGTTTACCTGGGGTATAGCAGGGAATACCTAGGTTTCGGAAAGGGCCACCAATCCTCATCAGTTCCTTTGTTTTTTTGTCTGGAATATTCTCCCTAGAAGTTATTTTAAGAATAACTTCTATGACAAAAAACATTTTTTTATCCAAGTGATGAGATCGTAAGCTCAATATATTGTTTTTTTTTAATATAAAAAACAAAAAAAGGGATTAAGCCTGACCATTTTGCTACAACAAAATTCTACAAATGGTATCCAGAACAAACAAGCCAACACTGTTCTATTAATAGACAAGACACGGTCGACGAAGGGGTTTTTGTTGCAACAGACAAAACCAACCTACATGGTTATTCTACTTCGTTCAGGTTGAACGAACGCATAACAAGTAGAGAAAGATGTAAATGTTTATAAGTGCGGTTGTAAGATTTAGAAGATCTTCCGAAAGAATTTTAGTTTTACTTAATTCTTTGGTTCCTCTTCTATTGAGCTTACGATCTCGTCATTTGGGTAAAAAAATGTTTGTTTTTGTCATAGAAGTTATTCTTAAAATAACTTCTGAGGATTGGTGGCTCTTACCGAAACCTAGGTATTCCCTGCCTTACCACCTGGTAAACATTACCATTGTTCTCCACTAATAAACAAACGTTGTTTTTATAAAAACAACAATAAAGGGATTAAGCCTGACCATTTTGCAACAACAAAACAAGTTTTTTGTTTCTCATACGCAATTATGCTTTTGTTAGTTACACCTTTTTGCATTTACGCTAACGATATATACACATTTTGTCATGTTTTTTTCCAAGTTCAATTTAGTTCTTGTTTCTTTTTCTTAATATTTCATTTTTCAAAAAATATTTGGTAACACTATATGTTACATATGCCCGACAATACCCGCCCAAATAGGGTGTAGTGGGCCATCGGTAACCCACGACCCGCATGCACCCGATGTTGCGACCCTGACATAGACCTCCGGCCCGAGTACCAAGGCCAGCCGACCAGACCGATTAAAATCTGGATCGGCCAAAGGAAGACCACCAGCTCTGGGATTGCCGATGTAGGTATACGCGCTTGGTCCTAATGTGTCACAACTGCCACAATTGAAATGGACTGACTCCGGTCGTAAATAGAGGTGACAGTAAGCCTACATATTTGACTATTATCGATTCGCGAAGTACGGATACGAAGACTATTCACTATGAAAGCATTAACTTTGACTAACACAGTCTGTGAAAGGCAGATACCAGACTGGAAGACAAAAATTCGACCAATCCTACCCGCGAGGGGCAAGAATTTTCATTCGGGTGAAAGTACGGACTACGACGCGAATGGTGCTTATAATCCGTATGCGGACGACGCCGAAAATTACTTGGGGTTTTAACCACGGTCTTCGAATCAACGTGAAGAAGAGTGTGGTGATCTTCGTTACATACGGCAAATTTTCTTTTACTTTGGAAGTTCCTTGCTTGGTGAGGTTTTGCTAAACACCGTATGCAATCGTTAAATTTTACTACAATTCTTAGTCCCATATCAACATTCATGACTCGGAAGTCGCTACATCTATCCAACGGGTGCATTCGTCCGACATCGAAAAAAGTGAACGAGAACTCAAACAGGCTTCTATCCTAGCCATAACCGTTGCTAATACTTCCAACGCTAACTTATGATTTCGAGTTTGCTTTCGAAAATGTAGTTTAAAGCTCTTGACTCCAGCCTCCCAACACGACGAGCAATGAATCTATGCAATGTGGCCAACAAATTAGCAGTCGACAAATCAAATATTGCTTCCAAATTTAATGCCTTTGTAGCGAAACAAACAAATACAAAACAAATAAACAAATATTAAGTTCGGCCGGGCCAAACTTTTAATACCCTCCACCTTAGGGTAAAGGAAACATTGGAAGAAATGTGACAAAAACCATTAAAATCGCCGAATATCGGGAGGTACCGTTATATGGGGGCTATACCAAATCATGGACCTACACATGCAATGTTTCGCCAAAAGAGCTAGAACCCATTACGACCTACAACTACCAATTTTCAGACAAATCCGTGAAAAAATGTGGTAAAAATCATCAAATTACCGAATATCGGGACGTACCGTTATATGGGGGATATACGATATCGTAGACCTATAATTACAATGACTCGCCACACGAACTGGGACCCATTATGATCTACAACTACCATTTTCAAGACAAATCAGTGAAAAAATGTGGTAAAAACCATCAAAATACCGAATATCGGGAGGTACCGTTATATGGGGGCTATACCAAATCGTGGACCCATACATGCAATGTTTCGCCACCGGAGCTAGAACCTATTATGACCAACAAATACCAATTTTTAGACAAATCCGTGAAAAAATGTGGCAAAAATAATCAAAATACCGAATATCGGGAGGTACCTTTATATGGGGGCTATAACGAAACGTAGACTTATACATGCAATATTTTGCCACACGCACAGGGACTCGTCATGACCTACAAATACCAATTTTCAGACAAATCCGTGAAAAAATGTGGCATAAATCATCAATACCCAATATCGGGAGGTACCGTTATTGGAATCCAATATTCAAATCTCAAAGTACGCAACATCAATTGAATATCACCATGTACACATTTTAGGTGGGTATATTCGACCAAACTGAGAGCCAAAGTACTACGACAGGGGAGAATTATGGGGAATCGCCCCGAATAGGCAAGCGTGGGTGAATGTGCCCATCTGCCATTCATCCGCATGACGCCACTATCATCCATGAAAGGATTAAGGGAAAGTAGACAACTCCTAGCATCTAACGGTTCTTTGTCCAACAAATTCTTGTACTCGTTAGTGAAATTCATCTTTTGAGCAATAATTACCAGCCGAGTGCGAACGTCACTTATTTCTGACGAAGAAAGCTGTTTGCAAGGATATCAACAATGGTTTCTATACCGGGTATGTGTTTAGCGAAGAAATCTAACAACGTACGCAATGACTCGAAACGCTTTAGCCAAACAGGAACTATTTACGCAAAAGTTAGCCAAAATGTCTTCAACGTCGAACTATTCT